AGCTCCGTCTCGGATATAAAAAACGTGATAGTAATTTTGGGCCATTGGTTGCTGCACGGATACGGCGTGATAGCGGTCGCGACTCTTCGCGGAATCAGCATTCATCCCGCGATGTTAGCCCTAGTTGTGTTACCCGCTCTGTTTTACATTATAACGGCGAGATTCACCGATCCACACAAGCTCCATATCGAATAAATCTTCCAAGCCAGAGTTCGGCGAGAAATGAACTTTTGGACCGATTTTCCGCTGGCTCCGCCTAAAGCTCGGCCTAGCTGCGCGCGGGACGACGAGGCAAGGGAAATAGTGTTAGGCGGAGCCAGCTGAAAATCGGCCGAAAGCGACAAGTTCTTGCCGAGCTCTGTTCCAAAAGCAAATCTCATGTATATACTATTTCCCATATCTAAGGATTAACATACTTAGGCTGTGTATTTATTATGTAATAAAAACAAAATCTTGCGCGCACATGTGGGTGAAAGCACACATCGTGGGATTCTTTTAATAAAGATTTTCGTTCAATAGTCATGCAATTTTGGATAGCGTGGTGCCCCTCCCGCCTCCCCTTCCAGAAAGAAGTTACAAATCTTTGTATTTGATGCTTGCTATATATATTTTCATTACACGTACGGACATTGAGATACATTTCTTTTTGTTGCACAATGTAATGTATGCACACACAGTTATATGATTCAAATAAAACAGATTTTCTTCACACTATACTTTGTTTCAACATACAAATAAATCAGATAAGCTTCAGCATAAATAATGATCAAGTAATTTCACATTTTTAGGACCTCTAGCTTCTATCTGTATTGCCGTTAATTTGAATTTCGATACAACTCGATTCTAATCTTTTTGATATCAACCTTGATTTCCTTCAGTTTTGTATATTGAAGAAAGAAATGCAATCGTATATAGCCGATTGCTCTCGCATTTAAATTCTTTTGGATCGATTTAAGACTCCTTCGGTACAAATGTTAAAATTAGTGTGCTTTTCGGTGATATGGGCACAGCATCCGACGGTAATTTCGTCCTGAAAAAACGATAAAGTTTCCATATTAAATTAAATTATTGAACATAAAAGATACGAGATTTTTGCAGATCGTGAAGATCTCCTTACTTCATTAATTCCGTATTTTGGTCATAGTTAGGACTATGCGCGACCACATTGATTTCTTCCGATATCCGCGGTATTCTGGACAGGTTTATGACGGCTGGTTCGTCTCCTGTCTGATACGCCACGAGATATCCGGGATTGCCACTTTTTACCCTACAAATTTAATTTACGTATTTATTGATATACTTTCGGACTTTATTCAAGCAAAAGCAAAACATTTCGAAGCATATGTACGATACAAAGTGTAAATTACACCGTATCACGTATAACTGTTAGTTGGTCTTATTGTATTTTTTGCATGCAGTTAAGTTTTTATTGCAAAGCGTAATCGCGATATGTTAGTACGTAGACTCACCAACTCCTGTGTTGCATACAAGGAAGCGTGGAACAGGGAAAATTAATCTTTGGTTAGTCTATTGTATTTATTATGCCCTCAAAGCATTTTTTTAATTAGCCCCCATTTTTTAATTCTTAACGTCAAAAATGTTTAGAGGAGTTTTAGCCGTCTGTTACGAAGCGGTACTTTATACGAGGTGAAATCAAGCGACAGATGTATCTCCGAAAGCACCGTGAGAATACGGGCCGAGACGTTTAAGAATAACTCGACGTTAGTCAATTGTGTGCGTAAGAATGAATTCAATTATCCAATTAAAACCCACCGCCTTCATTCATGCGCATAGAGAGTATACCGTTAATCTTTCTTACGTATAAATCAAACCACTTGGATAGAAAAAAATTGAAAAGCATTCTAAACGACTAATTTTCAAAGTTAATTAACCGGTAGTTATATATAATAGTTGAAAATATATTATATTATAATAATTTGTTCCCCAACGCTTCTAAAAGTGGTTCGCGAATGAATATTTAACTTTTGTTAAAGCGCACATAAATTTGTGAAGTCAATGATTACAGCACATTGATATTTTTTTTTTAAGTAAATCGTCACGAAGCTTACCTCGCGTATACGAAGACAGTCCCGTTTACTATTCTGAGAGTCGTATTCCCGTGAAGGAACGTTAGACTACTTCGGGCACTCGACAAGGTTGCGAACGCATCCTTCGCGGACATGACGTCCTCTTCTCGAAGAATCGGCGTGCCCGGTAGTAACATGGTCATTAACACGATACTATCGGCGACGTCTTTAGGCATGCGTTGCCTCAAGGAACGCTGTTTGCCATTCACCTATGATTGAAATACATACGAAGTTTACAAAGTTAAAAATTTAAAATTACATAGTAAAAATAAGTGTTATCTTTAAAACCATATGTAATGAAAATTAATTTTGTTACACTTACATTCCACGCAGGCCACGGCGTGACGGCAAGCCATTGCGATATACTTTTACGCAAGTCCGTCGCGTTTATGCTCGCGTTGGCATTAGTGAGGAAGTGCGAACTCTGCGGTAGATCAATCGTCGTCTTTTCGTTATAAACTTGCAAGATGTCCGCGCCAATGTCATCTTGCAACGCAAACAACCTGTAAATAACAATACATGTGAGCTGATATATAGATAACACGCACATCGCGAAGCTACGGTACAAAGGAAGCGAACGTACCCTTTGCCAGCAGTTTCGTTGCGAACGACTTCTTGCCATTTCGATAATACCGCAGCGTTCTCCGAACGATCGCGCGTGTGAACGTGCACTAGCGACTGATAATTGTTCGGTTCTACGGGAAGAATGCTCCTGGATTCGTCGCGCAGCTCCGGATCTTCCGTCAGATACTGCGTGTTTGCCAAGCGAAAACCGCTAATGCCTAATTTCAGCCAGTGAGTCAAGACGTCCTTAAATGAAGAATAAGACGATGAGATATGTATATAAATTAAGACGGGATAAATCGGCCGGCTAAAAATAAAACTGCAAGAGAGACCTACTTTAAATTCTGTCACCACTGCCGGGTTGGTGTAATTCAGATCAGGTTGCGACTTGTTGAACTGATGAAGGTAATATTGGCGCCTTTGTTCGTTCCATTCCCACGCGGATCCGCCGTACACGCTCAACTGCAAAAGTATATTTCAAGCTCAGTACGCGTCATTCCTTTTCTACGTCAGAAAATTACTTATCGGAGAGAAGTATGACTGACCCAATTATTCGGAGGATTTCGTCTTTCTTTTCCACCGTCAGAACCGATTATTCCATCAGCCCAGACGTAATAGGACGTGAATGGCTCCTGTCTCAGTACAGATTTTTTAAACCACGAATGCTCCACGGAGGAATGGTTGGGATCCAACTCCAAAAAGATTTGTTGGTCCTTCTCCTTTGCCACTTTAACGAAATTTTCCAAATCGCTGATGTTTCCTAAATTCGGCTTGATGGCTTTAAAATCTATGGTTCCTCCTGTAAAAATTAAGAATATCAAAATATAATTAATCGAGATTACAATTAATATAACATATTCTGAGAAGGTAAACATTCGAGTCTGTGCGTACCGTTCGCGCTTTCCTTCACCAAAGACGAAAGAGATATGGCCCTGACATGTTGATTTTTCAAATCGTCCAGTATATCCAAGTTGAGATTATATTCCGAGACGTCCAATTCAACAATTGCGCTCTCCTCCCACAGTTTCTTCGGCTCAGGAGCGGCGCATTTTGGCGCCATCACGATGATCGCTATGGCACCGGCCAACATGGCTGCCCATATCAGCCAGAAGACGATGAACAAGGCCCATCTCAATTTCACCCAGAACGGATCGTTTGCAAATTTCATCAATTCCTCCTTTCCCATTCCAGATAGCACCGCCTTCACCATCTCGATGTCGATCTTGGCGTCGCCATTCTCCGAGATGAACTTCACCTGTTCAAAGAAGCGTACACTTTGAAGTTGACTCGAGTAAGAGAATTACAAGACGGTTCATAATATAATTATAGACATCAGACCAATATGGTAACTAATTGTCAAGATATTAAATATAATAAAAAAAATACATGCAAGTATATGTAGAATACATAATTAATGTTATTGCCGAGTGTTCCGAAAGGCGATACTCGTATTTTTTTTACAAGTTTATCATTTCTTTTTCGCGACAAACGAATATATGTCGCCATAAGGCAGATAAAAATTCAAATTCAAGGAATCATTGTTTACTTATCAAAGCTGACGAGGATTAAACGTGTAAATTATGGAAGCTAATATCTCCATGCTGCATATCTACCAGATGCATATTTTAGAATAAATAAAAAAAAAAGACTCGGGTCACATGATGATGCAACTTGCTCGGGACTTGCGTACATTCCAGATTTAATCGACCCATCTTCCTTTACCGTTCACAGCTGTCGAAACAGTACGATACGCCTCGCTCTTGCTACGATCCAATAAATCCGAATAAAAAAAATCGTGTGGTTTTTTTAAATCGCATTAAAATAATCCGTGTCTACTGTTCCATAAGGGCGCATAGAAACATAGGTCATTGTCCGTCTCCGGGGGCGATCGATCGCTCGCACAATGGCGAGATAGGCGTGTCCGTGAGCCAAAGGGAGCTAACAAAAGGCAAGACTGTTCCCGGCGTTCCCGTCTCGACGTGACGTCTGCAAAACGGCGGATTGAGGTTAACCGATTAACGGACGGAGCTCGGATCTCAACCTTTCCTTTCCAGGGGAAACTCGAGACGTCCAATACGTTCGGGAGAGCCTCGCGCAAAAGATAAAAAAGCGCGGGCGAAACAGCCGGCTTTTTTATCTTCGCAAAATTTGGGGATCTGGAGGCGGAGGGAGTCCACGAAGAAGAGCCTCACCTCGGTGGCCTTCTCGTCCTTCTCCTCCTTCTCGATCGCGATCTTCGCGGCGCTGTCCTCCTTCAGCATCCGCTCCTGCGCGTCCTGATCCAGATCCTCGCCGTTCTGCTTGCCCATGACGACGACGGCGTTATTGTCCGGGTGTTGCTGCTGATCGTTACGGTGCTCGGTCGCGCGAATCTCCCCCGACCTGAACGTAGCAACGACTGGCGATGGCGACGGCGCCGACGGCGTCCCCTCTGCGGCCGCGGCCGCGGCGCCGATCAAATCGCGATCCCTCCCCCTCTCCATGACGCGCGAATCACGTAACGCCGGGGGCATTACCCTCTCGACATTAGACCCTCAACCCCCTGCAAATTATCTTGATTATCAATTACTACGTTTACGCGAGCATTACTTCTGTAGTAACTTAATTACGATAATTCGCTCGTTTACGCGGAGTAAATTATCGGAAGTTAAGTACTACAAAATCCCGTTTACGCGAAGGAATTATCGATCGTAAGTTACTACAGAAGTAACACTCGCGTAAACGTAGTAAATGAGACCCTGATTCTTTAACTCTTATATTAACATCAGTATCGTTATTATTATGTTGTCGTTGCGTAGGTAATACACTGGAAAAAAAAATTATTTGTGAGAAAATATAGATTTCTTTGAATTTTTCTGTATTCTGATGAAAAAATTTCTCATATTTTAGATTTATGAAAAATTCTGAAAAAAATATGTAAAATGTCTCAAATACTTTCAAAAACAATTGAATGAGGATTTTAAATTGAATAATAAAAATCTGAAATATTTTATTATTATTTTGTTTGAGTTTTTCTGAAAAACGTTCCAATTCGTGTAAAAAAAAATCTCAAAAATTCTCAGAAAGTCAACAATTAGAAAAATCATGGAATTAGTATTATGCGCGCAATATGATCTTTTACATGCTTAATAAGTGAACATGCAGATAAATTAACCGAAGAAGAAAGGAATTAAACAAATTTCCATTGTTCTTTCACATTATATATACGATATTAATGATGTATGTACCTTGTCAGTGCTTTCGGTCTACCGCACTCTCGTCTCGCTAGATAAAATTCACACGATGCGTATCCACCGATGCGCGAAAAAAGAGTGGCATATAAGGTCGAAAATTCTGGTCAAAAATGCGAAAAGAACAAAGTCAGCGGAATCCGCAATTAACGAGGATATTCGTTCGGGACTGTCGCAAGACCAGGACCGCGTTTGACCTCGTTTCGATTCGACCTGGGTTCCCCGAGTGCGAAAGCTTTAATCGCCTTGACTTGAATATTTATCTTTGCTGTAAATGTGTAAATAATATAAATAACCCTGTTTAAAATAATAGATACAATATGATCAGACTACATTGTATTACATTCAATTTCAATGTAAATGAATAAAAACCTTATTAATTTACATTGAAATTGAATGTAATATAATGTAATCTGATCATATTGTATCATATTATTTTAAACAGGAAAGACATTATAGTAATTAGTAATATATGATAATAATAATTTACTAACTTCGTACAGAAATGGACTTAGTTTTTACAATTTGTTCTTAACACACTCATACCATCCATACCATTATATATTTCCTACCTATGTATAATAATAATAATCTCTCTTTCTCTCCAATTTCCTCAACTATTTCCTTTTATCTTACCTATAATTGCTCGTTCCACACTCTTTCACATATTTCTTCTTTATTCCTAGCTACCTAATTCCTTAAAAACTAATCTTGTACACACTTCTCTACGTAATGACTTATATACAATCTTGCCGTTGCCTACAAAATACATATTTCTCCCCTCCTCCCACATTATCAAATTTCAATCTTATCAATGCTCACTATCTCTTCTATTCATCTTGTCTAAATTCCATCTTTAGATACCGATCATCAGTCCATCCAGTTTCACATACAATCCCTTATACTTTTTATCATATCTAGACTCGATTATCTTCTTTTCTTCCATTAAGACATTACTAATCTACCAATGACGACCCGATTTGTTAAGTTTTATCTTCAAGCCCTTTCCTCTCCAGTTTTGCAATCTTTCAGTCTTCAACGCGTTATTTGGCAATCTTAAAATTTTAAATTTTGAATTTCTGCACTACGATTGGCCGATATGGTGCGCGCGAAATCAAGCGGGAATGCTCGGACGAATTAAGAGAATTGGCGCGAGTTTTTAAAGCGCAAAAGTTTCTGGTTTTTCTCCCGAGCTTCTCAAATCTGAACTGAACACGCTCGGGACGCGACATTTATTCTCAATAGTCCTCCTTTCGACTGCTTTCACTACATTTCGATACTCGAACCGTATGTTCTAATATTTTTAATCATCATCACATGTGCGATGACAATAATCTGTTATCTCGTCTCTGCACACGTGATCAAGCGAGAGATATGTCATGAATGACATGCCTGTTTACGTTGAACGGTAACGGCACGAGACTCTCTGCTTTCTTTCCCGCCACATACATGCCAAATGACTCAAATGACCAGGCTGGAAATCAACGTCAAACGGCTCCTAACGCGCTGCGAGCTGATAGCGAAGGATGATCCGCACAAGGATTGGAAACTCGAGAAGGTATGCGAATGCTGTTTCTAACCTCTACGTTCTGTCACGTTCCTCTGTTTATCACACATTAGGGCTAGATCAGTACATTAGATATCGGAGTGATTTTATATATTAATTATCTGAAATACAAAGCATAATATTAAGACACGTCAGACAATTCTAATTATAATATTTATTATAAAATTTTTGTTTGTATATAAATTAACTTGCGCACACTGCTATGTGGATGGTTAAATTTCTTTTACCTAACTGTTATTTCTTGAGAAAATGACACAAGAATTAAATAATCCATTCGTTAGCAGTTGCTACATAAATTATTCGCATATAAGCTATAAATATCTATAGATTGTGTGAAAGAGTTTTGTTCATACAAACACCTGACATATGCTTTTCTTGTTTCAGTACATACTTTCTCTGGATGACATGATGAAGGAGCTGCAAACTTTACCAAAGTAATATTTTCAGTTGTGCAGTATAATATCATTAAAACGTATAATGTATTATTATTAAAAAAGCATTATTTGCATGATATAGAGAATGCCCCAGATTTTGGGTGACAACAGTTAACAACAAAGTCCTTACTTCAAGATGAAAATCCTACGATTAACGTGTCAAGATTAATAGTTTTTAAATAAGAAGTATTTAAAGTTGATTGAATAAATCGGCCAATATTAAAATTTGCGCGTTCAGACACGGTACGATAGCAAAGATATAAATCATCATTTATTTACACTCTGTGTAATGATCTTTGACAATTCTTTGATAGCGGGTCTGTTTTCTATTGCCGAACTGGCCGCACTAGTTCAGAGTTCATAGTTCGGAAACTTCTTGAACAGCGCACTACGACGCTCTCGGTAAGACTGTAGTGTACTACATCTTTTTCCTTCCTATGTGGTGTAAAAAAAAAATGAACTCTGAACTATTGCAGCCAACAATAGAAAACAGACCTACGATGTATCGTTTTTCAATGTTGCAAAATCAAGGACACTCTGTATATCATTTTCAAATTGTATCTAATTATTATTATCAGCATCACGGTATTAAAGATGTTTGTATAGCGTTAAAATGCTGGATTTTTATTTACAGTAAACCGCCCAAGGATACCATGATGGGCTACATCAAACGGATAGATTTCCTGAAAGGAGTAATAAATGCGATGAAGTTGTCGAACCCGGTGGAGAGGGTGATCGCCGCGCAATTGCTATCGAAAAGTTCAGCGTCCACCAACAATTCCGCCAGTACGAATATCACAACGCAGATACATCAGAAGACAGTCGCCAAGTACAATCGGGAATTACGGGCGGAATTATTCTACAGCGGCAAAGGTGACTTGCTATTTTAGCATGCGATACCGAAAGTCTGGTCGTCACACGTGACTCTCGACATTAAATCTCGTTGTGTGTTACAGACGCGAATAAGGATGGCGTGCGACAGAGATTAACGGGCTCTAATGTCCAGGACGACGATCTTGACGCTATTTTGAAGTACAATCGTAACATCCAGGAGAAGATTGCCGAAAATATGCTCTCGATGACCAGCACTATGAAGGAACACGCGTTAGCGGCGAGCGCCATCATAAAAAAGGATATCGGCACGCTGGAAATGTCCGACAAATTGACCGATGTAAACGCTGTGAAATTGAAGAAGGAATCCCTAAAGTTGGAAGAGCACACCAAGTCGAAATGGAGATGCTGGGTATGGCTCATGATCGCCTTCGTTCTGATTGTGTTCTTCAGTGAGTATTTCACATATCGATTTATAAAAGTTATTTTCTAGAGCAATGCGATGGACATTTTTTTATTTATCGCTCGAAATAAATTTCTAATTTGCGTGATGTTACACCGTTGCTAAATAGGCTATGAAAATATCAGCAGCTGAATTATCATTTAAATTGCATCTCATTCTCTTGTATATTTCAGATATGGTGTTATTTATGAAAGTGGCAAGAAAGAAGATTTAGATTAATTTCTACGTCGGGGGGCGTGTCAACCGCGGCTGGAATATGTAGCTGCGCGTCACGCGTGAATCCGTGTGAGTCATTGGATTGATATTATGATGATAGAATTACACAGCCATGAGTGTGCTTGTAAAACCACCTGTTCCACCTAAAACCACCTGGAAACCTGGTAAATATACCATAAAATAGCCATACGTCGGATTATAACTCTGTCTGGGATGGCAATGTGTAATTTACGATCTTGTTATGCGCAATTTGATAACGATATCTAAGTATTTACCGTATAATTCCTGAAGTACTTCTTGGTTCTATTGTGATAATTGTGTATGATAGGAAAAAGCTTTTATACATGTACATATGAATCTCTGTATATATGTACTGACCATGTATTATACAGATCGTTTATTTATCCTAATTATAATAATTATTTTCATGTCATATTTGTTACGAACTCAATAAAATTCTATTGTATATAAATTTAAGGTTATATCACATATTTCAATCCAACGTCTCAATCCATTTAAAATCTATCGAGTGCGAAATGTACGCTTGAAATGAAAAAATCAGCAGCCTAAAAGAATTACAGTTCCGCCGTGATTATTGAAAGAACATTATTTTGCGCAGCTTTGCTAATGTGTGCAATTATTGTACAAATCTAGGTTAGAATAATGATCTCATCAGATACATGAGAATATGAGTGTATAATGTACCTCATTTTTGCAATTAAACACGAATAATTTTTATTTTTTAAGTAAGATAGTATCTGACATAAATGTGTTAATATTATATGTTATCTTTAAGGAAAGGTAAAAGTGGTCAGGACGTTATGCAAGTATATTGCGCAACGTGTAAGTGCATCTACAGTCTATTAACAAAATATGTTTCTTACATAATATATACGTGTGTCGTAATAACATATATGTAATTATATTTCTCTTATTATTATGGAATTATATTGTTTCGTATATTTTTAATGTGTAAAAATATGATGTTACTGCTTTTTAACAGGCGGATGAGTTATCGTTCGAAGAAGGTGATTTACTTTACGTTTACGACAGAGATACCGATCCAAATTGGTGGAGGGCTAAGTGCGGAGATCAGAAAGGACTCATACCTGCCACTTATGGTAAAGAAAAATGCATAACATTCGTTTATCCTCAACGTAATGTTCATAATCTATTATGTTATATTCATAATCTATTGTTCTCAGTCGAGGAACAAACGGAAGAGATCGAGCTGCCGCTGCACGACGCTGCGAGACGGGGCAATGTTTCCTTCCTGGCGGAATACTTGAAGGAGGGCATATCGGGAACGGGCTTGGATGCAGCTGGGAACACGCCGCTGTACTGGGCGGCACGCACTGGCCATTTGGAATGTGCGAGAGAGCTTCTGAATCTGCTAAATCCCGTAGTAAACGCTCAAGTAAGGGAATGGACCTATACTTTGGAGAACTGGACTTGTATTCCTATTTTAATAACTAAACAACTAAGCGTAGCCATATGATTTTAAACTCGCTACAACATTTTAAGCTTTCACGAAATAAGCAACAGAATGAGACGGTCACATTTTAATATAAGATACAAGTGCGAACGCTTCTACCGTATCGCCGTATATCCTCATATATTCGTGTGTTTCGCACAAAGTTACCTCTTAATCTTTTTTACTTTCAATCGTAGAATAAAATGGGTGACACGCCATTGCACGTAGCAGCGAGTCACGGACATTTGGAGATGGTGAATTTATTGTTGGAGCACGATGCCGATGCGACATTGAAGAATAATGACGGTATCACCGCGGAGGAATTGGCTTCCGACGCGTCTATCAAAAACACGATACAACTGCATCAACGCGGATATGATGAAAGTGCACATGGATACGGCGAAGAAGATTATAACGATGAAGATAGCGATTGAGAATTTCACAATCTGCAATAAGAATAAAATAAGAATTCCATGTATTTTAAAGAAAACAAACGATTCACGTATTACGTAAAGTACTATAATTTTACATATTAATAATTAAAAATAAATGTTAATCCTTTGCGGTCCATAGTTATTTCTCGCAAATCAAGAGCAAAAATCAGGTATTTCAATTTCATTTAATCAGCGGGGCTAACATGAATAAAAAAAAAAAGGATTTTTATTACTTGGAGGAATTTATGGAAATTCCAAAAATGTAATTTACGCGATTATAATAGTGTACAGATTCGAATTATGCGAAAGATTATTACAACGCATTATGTCGATGAATTCAAAGGATCACAAAGGGTTAAATAACATTTCAAAGATCTCAAACAATGCTTGCCTCTTTGTATTTAAGACTCTTGTTTCCTACAGGATGCGAGTAGCTGGGTAAACGAAAGTTTATTTATTTCGATCATACAAGAAATTCACACGACATCGCAATGTCACGAGTCAAAGAAACAGGAGTCTTAAAAATTGTTCTTTCATATTTGTGATATATTATAGAGCGTATATCTATTGCTATATAATACGATAATAGATTAAGATCCTTGCTTAAAAAGGACCAATAATTATATTATCACAAAACATGTACGACATGTAGAACCAAGTCTTTATCATACTGCCATTAGCATCATTCAGAATAAATATTATTCAAATCATTCGTAAAGAGTATTATAATGAAATTATATAAAAACATATATATTAGCGATTACTATATTGATTGTATGAGTTGCATGATACAAAAAAATAAATTTGAGGAAGTATTATAGACTTCAAATGTATAAGATGTGATCTGTGTAAAAAGAACAACAGGCCACAGAGTGTTCTTTTATACAAATTACTTAAAGCTCTTGTTTATCAATTTTTCGCGTTATTATTCGCATTATTAATTTAACCATCCATTATGAATTCTTGACTGAACATTATTGAGCTCTAATAAAACAATCTTTACAAAAAGAGACGTAATATTATGTTCTTCTTCAGTAATATGCCGCGATGTATTTGTAATTCACTACGTGATTTTCTTTACCTCCTTCAAACCTTTTTACTGAACCATCTGTTGAAATCTAGTCTCAATAGCAATCGAGCCAAGTGCTCTCCACTGGGCTGTGCACGCACTCTATTCAATGTCTTTGTCAACCAGTCCATTACGCTGTCGAGCGTCTCGCATAACGTTTTGAGCTCTTCTTTCTCCGTTAAGAGCAAATTGCCGACCTCCCACATGGACGCTTGTAAAATGAAATCGTCGCACAGCCGTAGCAAAAGATGTATCAACTTGTTTACCTGTTAAAAAAATTCATGAATACCAAGGAGCAACAACAGAGTGTCTCGGATTTACGGAGCCGTCTTTAAAATCTATGGATTAAATTAATCAAAGAATTGATATAACGAAAGACGGCTCGCGCCAAATCTGCGATACTCTGCATAATTTTGAATTTTATAATCGTGATTTTAATGAAATTTACGGGATTCTTTTTTCCTGTTCCATTGCCTAGCAAAAAGGTTTGCGACATGACGTTAGCCAGAAATACAGAATGCGCCTTCTGTATATCCTCAAAATTCCGTGTGTTCTTCATACTCGCTTCCATTACAGTATATTGACTTTCCAGCACGTCTACTTGCAGATAATACTGCAAGTTGTCGACGATGAAGATCAAATTATTTCTCAATTGGATCACGCCGATGTCACTGTGAATTTAATATATCGTGCTATAGCAATTACGGACAACAAAAATGTTAATTATCTTGTGACATTCATGAATATATAATTTACATGTTCTTGTGATGCATGTGCTCGCTCCAGAGATTCCACAAGTCTATCTGGGTCTTTTTAACTCTCAATAGGAAGCGAAACAAAATGTTGTAATCGTTCAGCACGGCTGGATTGAACAACAGATGCAATGGCCAAACAACTTTGTACTTCAACGTGATCATACCCCATCCGCGTTTCTCTAAAATGATAAAATTTGTTCAACGTCTTGCCTTTGAATATCTTGGAAAAAAATTGCAACACAAATACGCACCATTAGGATCTTGCCTTTCGTTATCGGGGAGATCGATGGCGTCCGTGTCGGCGTCCTCGTTTTCAGAAGGTGGCACGGGCACCACGAAGTTAAAGCTGTCGATAGCGCTTTCGTCGTTCAGATGCATCCTCCTCAGCGCCATTTGAAACGCGAGATTAATGTCTCTGGACGTATGATTCGTGGGCGCCTTGTTCAGAACGTGCGCCGTGAGCTTGATGAATTCTAAGAAGAGGTCGCCGCGTCCCATCAGGAAGAATTCTTTCACCAGTCTGAGCTGCTGCATCAGCTGCGCCTCTTCGACGGCCACGTGCCACAGAAGCTCGGTCACGCACTGTTTCAATTCGTTGATCGTGCGGTCGAACTCGACAATGTTGAAAACAGACTTCGCCTGGAGATTCTGAAGTTTCCTGAAGTACTCGTATTCTTTGTCGCCCCACACGGAATTTTCTGTCTTGGATATCAGGCTGAAATCTGAAACAGACACTTGGCTTTTCACAACTATCTTCTATCGCGCACCAGATGACTGTGCTCATTTTCTGAAGAGTGATATAACAATTGTAACAAGATAGTTTCCTTTTCAAGCAATTGAAAATCGCATTTTTTTTACCTTTCTTCTGTCTGGGGTCATTCCCAAACATAATGACAGTTTGACCGATGGTCAGGATTTTATTTGCCAGCGACGGCCTGATATAAGACGGAAGCATGTCCATCTGGACAGTATAGTCCCACATATCGACATCAATTTTCTTGCCGTTTATCGATTCACGTGCATCAATATCGTTCTTTCCATCCTCATGCGTCGAAGGTTTCTCGCAATCCAATGATTTTTGTATGAAAAATTCTGTGTGAACATCCTCCAGATGCCCATACAAGAGCCAGCTCGTTAGATGCTTGTAGAAAACAATGTGAACGGAATGGGCCATCCTAAAAGCGAGTAAATGAATAAGGCTAACAATGTTGAGTCTCGTTAAAAATCTCTTACAATTCCAAAGTGGCGTTGATCTCGGGTATGCCGGTATGCATACGCTGATGTAAACACTGCAACAATTTACAACCATGGAGCTTCTGCGTACGAATCTGAAACGAAAGAGACGGTTGATAACAT